GCTCTGCGCATCCCTGTACCCCCGCCCTGAGCATCCCCCCTACCTCACCCCTCACCCCCTTTCCCTCCTCCCAGCACTGCTGGGGACCTGCAGCACCTCACCTGGTGGGGAAGCAGGGCCTCCCCTTGCTGCCGGTTTCCCCCCTGCCTAAAGAGTTGGGGCACTTGGAGCTGGGCAAAAATCCAGCACTGGTGTCACCGCCCTGGGGACCCCCTGGGAAGAGCACCGACAGCTCTCTGCCAGGGGTGGTCTGCTCCCAGTGACAGGGGGACTACAGCCCTGGGCGAGATGATTCCCGGGGAGCCAGCATCACCGCCCACCTCCACCACCCCGCTCCCGCTGGGGCTGCAGAGCTCCCGGGCACGGCTGCGGGTGGGACCAGCCTCACCCCCTTCCCGTGCCTGTCCACACCGCAGGATGAGCTTTTGGTCTTATTTCTTGCCTTTCTAATTTCCTTTCTTCCTACCCCTCTTTGCTTTTTTGTGCTTTTCTGGTTTTTGAGAGAGACTGGTGCTGGCTCAGCAGCCCCCAGGGAGCAAAACCTTCTGTTTATTTGCACACCAGACAGAGAAACCAGTCCTGCCTCCTGCCATCTCCCAGCCGCTGCCTCTACCCGGGGCTCCTGCGCTCCCCAACCTGCCCCAAGAGGTGCCAACCAGATTGGGCCGCTGTGCCGGATATTTGCAAGCAGCCAGCCTGGCCTCGGGCTGCTGGACGGGGGCTGCTCCCCAACCTGCCCCGAGAGGTGCCAACCAGATTGGGCCGCTGTGCCGGATATTTGCAAGCAGCCAGCCTGGCCTCGGGCTGCTGGACGGGGACCAAAGGGGCACCCGCGACCTGCCTGGGTGGGTCTACACCGCTCAGGGCGGCACCTGCTTGGCTCCCAGCTCACGGGACCACCACTGCACGATTTTGGGTGCAGATGGATGCACCCCTTTCTCTTGCAGGAGCTGCACGGGTGTGTGTATTTTACCCCCAGCCAGCTAAGGAGAAGAGGAGCAAATTCCCCGACACCTCCCAGGGATGCGCCTGCAAACACCCTGCCGCAGAGGCAGCTCCATTGCCACCACTGCAGGGACCTGCCCTTCCCTCCCTCCTCTGCCGCCATCCCTGCTCTGAACCAAACCTCTCCTTCACAGACCTGCAGGTTTTTTACAAGGTCCCGGTGCTCAGGACCCTCAGTGACATCCTGCCCGGAGGCTCTGGAAAGTCTGACGGGTCCCACAGGCAGCGGCTGGTGGTGATCTCACTTGGAGGGGGAGGAAACGGGACCGACAAACTCTTTCCAACAAACCTGTTGAGTTACTTTAAAATTCCAGGCTGGCAGCAAAAGTGCTGGATGGCGGTGCGGGTTAGGAAAATGCTGAGCCTGGACAGAGTCAGGCCTGACCTTTCCCTGCCACAGATCTGCCATCCCAGAGCAGAGTGAGAAACGGGAAGACTATTTGGGTCCGTCTGGTTTGTGCCCTGAAACACGACGCCCGTATGGCCGGGGGAGCTGCTGGGGCAGCAGCGAGCCAAAGGGCTTGGCTGAGCTTCCCAGCCCTTGTTCCATCCAGGGAGCTGCTGGTTTTGAGGACGTCTGACACCCCAAAAAGGCAGGGGACAGATTCTGGACACCAGGTTCATGTCGAGCATCCCCAGCCGGTCCCGTCCCTCCCCATCCCGGGGGCTGCTTTGGGAAAACTGGGCTCAGCAGAGCAGCAGCATCCGATAACGCCATCCCATGGGGACAGTGACACACCTGCCCTGGCGCCGCGTGGCAGCTGAGATAACAGCTGGGCAGGAGCAAAATAGAAAGAAGGGTGGAAGTGGGGTTTAAAAATGGGTCTGATGCCTGTAAGAGGCTGGGTCTAATCCTGTGGGAGCATCTCCCCCGGGTGGGGAGGTCCGGGCGTGGGAGTGGCTGTGGTAACCCTAGATATGCGCCTGTATTTGTGTCACTGTGGCCGAAGGGACAGTCACAGAGAGGAATGGCTGTGAAACAGGGCTGTGAAGCGAGGCGATGGCAGAGAGCATTGTAGGAACCAACCAGCCTGAAATAAAGCGCTTAATTTTTAAACCAGGGGCTGAAAGAGAGATGGCCCCAAGCCACGTAATGAATGCTTGGCCATCCCCACCCCGACCGACCAGGGTCCCAGGCAGCGCCCCAGGAGCTGGTCCTGATCACCCCCCTTTTGGCAGGGTCCCGTCAAGCCCCAAGGCCGGGGTGAGAGCCAGGAAGCCCACCCCGCTTGTGCCGCACTCGGGGTTCAGTTGAGCTCTCGGAGACTGCAGGAACCCACCCGCTGCCTTCCCACCCCCCTCCCGAGAAAAGCCTCGGATTCCTCCTTATTTTTAAGGCCAGAGAGATCATCTCAAGCTAAAAAAGTCCCAGCGGCTCGCTGGGAGCCTGGGACCTCTAACCCAGCGGAGGTCCTGCCCTGGGAAGAGCCAAGCGTTCCCAGCGCTGTGCTGGGCAGCGGCAGCCCCGGCCCCAGGAGCACAGCAGCGCTTTTCGGGGGGTGGGATGGTGGCCAAAGGGGGTTTCTCTTACCTGCTTTCTTCGGCTCGTTGGCGGGGTTGATGAGGACCCGTTGGATCTTCGCCACTTTCCACTCCTGGCTGGGGTCGGCCACGGGGCTGGCTGCTGTGGGAGGCAGCTCTGGGGCAGAGCTGGAGCATTTTGGGGGGGCTGCGGGCTCAGCCACCGAAGCCAAGCTGCCACCATCCAATGCAGGACGTGGCGTGTCCCCGTTGAGCCCCCCGGGCTCCCGCCAGCAGCTTCCGCTTGCCTTCCCTCCCAGTGGCCCCGTCCATCCCTCCTGCTCGACCAGCTCGGAGGCAGGAGCATCCCGGAGCTGACGGCACCTCTGCCCCCCTCTGCTCCCCCTCTCCTGCCAACAGCCGGTGTCCCCCTCGGCCGTCCCACAGACACATGGGTTTTGCATGGCCTCGCTGGGTGTGGGGCAGCCGGGCTGGGTTTGCAGGCAGGGTTGCCGGAGCGTTGCCTTCAGCATCTTCGCCGCTTTCCTTCGCTGGCACTCTACAGCCTTTCAAACCCGCTCAGCATGGCCAGGGGGCTGGCTCCTCCCCGGCAGCGTCCCGTGGAGCATGGGCAGTGTCCGAGAGGGAAGATGGCCACGTGCCGGGCACGAGCCCAGCTTTACTCCTCTTGCAGGCAGGAGGACCAGGCACGGTGCCACGGGAGTGGGCAGCTTTCGGAGACCCAGCCGCAGGGATTTGCCTGGAGGACACAGATCACCAAGGAGGGTTTTGCAGGAATCAGCCAGGCTGGGTTTGCAGGCAGGGTTGCCGGAGCGTTGCCTTCAGCATCTTCGCCGCTTTCCTTCGCTGGCACTCTACAGCCTTTCAAACCCGCTCAGCATGGCCAGGGGGCTGGCTCCTCCCCGGCAGCGTCCCGTGGAGCATGGGCAGTGTCCGAGAGGGAAGATGGCCACGTGCCGGGCACGAGCCCAGCTTTACTCCTCTTGCAGGCAGGAGGACCAGGCACGGTGCCACGGGAGTGGGCAGCTTTCGGAGACCCAGCCGCAGGGATTTGCCTGGAGGACACAGATCACCAAGGAGGGTTTTGCAGGAATTTCTCTTGTCCAGGCGGGCAGAGGAGCAGTGTCTAAAGACCTGTGCAAAGGGAAGGGGGAGTGTTGAAGATGCTTGTGTATACATTGATTTCCTTTGGCCGCAGCCAGCAGAGCAGTTCCCGGCAGCCCCAGCCTGGGCTCCAGCCCCAGCACCGCTCCCCACGAGGAAGGGGCCCCTGAGATGCAAACACTCCTCACCAGCTCGTTTAGAAATGCCCCCCACCTCAGCAGCTCCCCCAATGCCACCCTCACCACCCCAGCACCCTTGCCCATCCGTCCTCACCCTGGGGGCAGCGCCCAGGGCCGGAGCACAGTGCCCGGCTCCTTTGCTTTAGCAGCCCAGACGTGGCCGCAGAGACCCCCATTTGTGGCCAGCGCTGGGGGAGGGTTGCTGCTCAGGAGGTGGGAGCGTTCAGGGAAGAAGCCCCTTCCCTGCAGATGGGGGTTTGCCTAAGGTCAGTAGGAGCCCTGGCTCCTCCATCCCGCTGAAAATCGAAATTCCCAGCATCCAGCTAACAAAGCTGTGTTTAACCATTGAGTGACTCACGCGGCACCAGGACAAGCGCAGACAGACCCGCTTCCCTTCTGCCGAGCATAAATCCTGCTGAACAACGAACACATGCACTGACACAGCCGAGAGGCGAGGTATCAGCTGGGAGAGGGGGATGTCATCGCTCCGGGAGCAGGATACGGGTTACAGCGTACAGGGGAAATTCCTGTGCCGTGAGTCCTCCGCAGCCGCTCAGCGCAGCATTGCCCAGCCGCGCTCGCTGCAAGGCTGGGTCCCAGGGAAGCACCCGCCGGACACGGCTGCTGCTGGGAGACCCGCAGAGCCCACGGCACACGGACCGTGATGGATTTCCCGGCCTAACAGCCGGCCGAGGAGGAAAAGAGGTTTCTGCTCAACCCAAAACCCTCCCTTGAGTTATTGCAAGATTTTTCAGTGAAATAAGAAAACGCACTAGGTCAATGCCGTGGGTTGAGCTCAGGCAGGAATACACCCTGCAGCTTCATCTGGGGCTCACACAGCTTGTCTGCAAAACTTTTCCCATCCTTAGCAAGGTTATTTTGGAAACGAAGGCAGATTTGAAAACAGCCAGTGAAAGCTTTGCTAACGAACAGGCGCTCCGGGCATTTCCCAAATGCGAGGCTGCATTTTTTTGAGAATGCCCAAAGGAAATCTTCTGCCCTTTCTGAAATCCTTCCTCCTGCCTTCCTCTGCTGCAATTATTCAACACGGATTTGCAAAGAGATCCTGGGGGGGAAATTTCAATGTTTCTCTCTGAAAAAGGAATCTCACCCTGCTCTTTACGTAATTCAGGGCCCCAGTAGTTGCGGAAAGCCACCCACATCTTTCCTTAGAAACATGGCAAGTTGTGGGAGCTGGAGGGTGCTGGCTTATCTCAAACGAGGACAAAGAGAAAGTTGCCAAAAATAGCCCCAGCCCAGCCTGGGTCATCAGAGATCCTCTCGGAGCGGCTCTGCCACCTCCCCGCTCCCACGCCCTCACCCCATCCACAGGGAGAAGGTTTCTTGGGCGGCACGATTCCTGCCCATCCTACACCGGAGCTCCCTTGACAGTTTGCTGGGTGAGCCCGTACCACCCTGAAAACCATCTTCCAAAGCCACCCCCTTCCATTTCGGGAGCGCTTTCTGCAGATGGGCATATCCTGGGGACAGGCGCCCACGATCCTGGCGTTCCCTGGGCAAACCCCTCCTTGGCGAGACCCGAGCGGCGGCGTTCCCTGAGGACACGCTGCAGGGATGGGGCCACCCACACCTCCGAAATACTGAGTCACGCGTCTGCTGCCTCGCCGCGGGCCAGGCACCACGGCGGGGGAACGGCGGGGGGGGGGGGGGGAACGGCGGGGGAACGGCAGTGGAGCTGCTGGCAGAGTAGCCGCCTTCCCCCTGGGGCTCTTGGGCTCTGCAAGCCAAGCCCGGGACACGGCTCTTGGGCTCTGCAAGCAGTACAGGAAGGGAATATTTATGGGTAACTTGCATCTCTAGCAAGTGCTGTGGGGCTGATCCTGTCTGCTCAAAGACCGGCCAGGTAGGATGGGTATGTGTGCCCCGGGTGCGTCATTGCACCAGCAGAGAGGAGCAGCGTCGCCAGCCAGGTCCACAAAACCAGGCTGAGATAACAACCGCCCGCCTGTGCACACCCCCGCCTGCAGAATGAGGCTGTAAAGGGGCGCGAGGGTCATTTCGGGGACCATTTCAAGGGCACAGCACCAAACCAGGGAGCAAGGGATGCTCGAGTCGGGCACTAGTGCCCAGCTCACAGCCCCAACAAGCCGCTGCCCGGCCGTGCCCCCCCGGGGATGCACCTCATGCTCCCCAGCAGCAGCGGGTCCCTACGAGAAGCTGCAAAATGGTGCCAGGGGAGGGAAGAATAAAAAAAAAAAAAAAAATCCTTCCGTTCACAAAGTGCTGAAATCTGGTGGCAGGGAGACCATTTGCTCGGCTATCTTTCCCTGCCCACTCGCTGGCGGGTGATGCACAGCCCCCCCGCCTGCCTTTCTCACACCCTGCCACCCCCCACCCCCCGCCATTGAAAAAAGGAAAACTAAAGTTAACTTTCCACCTCCCACACAAATATTTTTGGCAGGAGTTGCTGGCATTCAGGCTGCCGAGCCCGAGGGAGACGGGGCCTGCAGAAAGTCTTCGTCTCCGTCTGCTCCCGGCACCCGCCCGGGGGACCTGGGGGACCACGGTGGCCTGGGCTGGTCCTGTCCCAGCCACAGTGCAGGGCCAGAAGGTGGCACAGCTGTAAAAAAATGGGGTGCACTTCCAGGACAGCCCTGGGGACTGCTGTGGCCCGGTCACAGGGATGCCTTAGAGTGGGGGTCGGATTTGTACCCAAGCCTGGGGTCTGTCCCTGGTTTCCCGTGTTGTCCCCAGCCACATCACTGCCCAGTGCTTGGTTTTCATCATCATTAAACAAGCCGGGACGGGGGCAGGAAGGGGTGCGAAAGCTGTCCCCAGCACAGCGGGGGCTCTCGGGTTTCCCCGAGGTCAGGCAGCAGGTCACTGTCACTCAGGCAGGACCTTGCTGTCCAGACTTGCAGTCCCCAGCTCCGGTCACAAGACCGGCTCCGTCCCTTTCCAAAATAGCCCAGCCGCAACACATACATCTGGGGATCTTCACACCTTTCCTGTGCCAGCAGCTGAATGTTCCCTCGGGGGAGCTGGGCACCTTCCCCCCCTCGGCACCTTCCCCCCCGTGGCACCTTCCCCCCCGTGGCACCGCACGGGGCAAGGAGCCTGGGTTGGCTGCATCCCCGAAGGGCAACTGCACGTCCCTGGGGGCCCCCGTGTTTCTTTATGGGAGCGCTGCCTCCGCAGTGGATACAGGAGACGTCTTTGCGGTGTAGCTGTCACCCAGCGGCATTTGGAGCCGTGCCTGGGCCACCCTGTGCCCAGACACTCTCCCATCTGCTGCAATCCAATATCCCCCCCGGGCTCCCCGGGGTACCTGGCCGGGATGTGCTGCCGAGCTGCGTGCTGGGAGGAGGCACGGCCGAGCTGCCTGCGGGGCGACCCCCCCTGCACGAGGACCCCACCGCTAAACCACAGAGCCGTGCAGGGCTGGGGTCAGCTCGGTGTCACTCCGTGCCACCCCGACATCCTTCCATGAGAGACCGGGACCACACCCAGCAGGGAGGGGATGGCAACGGGAGGGACGCGGCCGGGCTGTGCAGGGTGGATGGAGAAAAGCCTTCTCCGTGGGGGCCAAGGTGTCTCTGCGGGGGTCCAGCACCCAGGGAAGGGGTGCAAGGGAACTGGGATGTGATGTGATTGCTTCCCTGGAAATCCCTGCCAGGACGAGAGAGGAGATGCCAGGTCACCTCCATTGGCATGAGAGGTCCCCAGCCTCGCCAGGCCGGGACGGACCCCGTCCCCGGAGCAAGCCCTGGGAGTGTGGGCAAGGATGGCCACATCCTGGCTCCTGCAGGCGAGGCAGGGGCTGGCAGGCACAGCAGCCGGCAGCGTGCTGAGGAAAACAAAAGCCTTTTGCAGTGCTGATTTACTACCTTGACGGAAATCGGGATGGAAAAAACAACATTCCTGAGTGCCTGTCCCCGTGCAACCCCCGACGTCCCCAACACCCCAGCCTGCTTGTGGGGGACATGGGGCTGCCGGTCCCGGCACGCGGGTGCCCACGCCGAGCTGCGCCGTCATCCCTTGCCCACAGCTGGCAGGGAGAAGCAGCAGGAGAAACGCCCGGGGACGGCACGGGGGCTGCGGGGCACCAGAGGAATTGTCCTTATTAAGCGGTGAGCAGAGCAAGGGAAGAGGAGGACAGCAGCATCCTGGACAGCTGGACTATGTCCCCTCCCTCCTCC